GAAAAATAAAAAGGCAGGACAGAGATTACAAATTAAAAAAAAGGCAGGACAAAATTTTTCGTCCTAGCACCCACCCCATCCCCCCATAAAAATCACATGGTAGCTCCCTTAGATTCTCATATAGCTCTACACAATCGGTCTAGATCTAAAAAAAATACACATTTTGAGAGAGGAATGTTATTCATATGTAGTACTTTTCATCTTGATGAAGAAAATTATGAGATTTATCTGATTAAAACGACTATTTGTTTTTGAATAAAGGAACGTTTTTTGCATATGTTTTTTAACTTTTCCATATAGGGGAGATAACTCGGATAACATTATTTTTTGTCGTTTTTTATTTTTTTTAATTTTTTGCCATGGCATTGTGAGTCTGTTTTCGACTTATGAGTTTGAAATCCCTTTGGCATATTTCGTCTCTATTGATGGAATGTGTAGGGACTTTATCTATTTTGTTTTGTAGACAGAAAACGAGTCTCATGATCCCAATTTTTATTTTTATTTTCTAACATTGAGTTTTCCATGTATAGTTTATACAAAATCTGACAATACTGCATAACCTGTAGCGTGCAAAATGCTCTGTGGCCCAAACTTTTCATTATGTTTTTCAAAAAAGAATAAACTACATTTTGGCAAATAATAAACCGATTTTAATTTAGACCACACTCATTAAAACCATAAGAGAGAGAGAGAGAGAGAGAGAGAGAGAGAGAGAGAGAGAGAGAGGAGAAACTGTTGATACCAAAATAATTCATGGACTTTAACAATATTTACAGATTTTTGATTTTTTTTCTTTTTCTTTGAAAACACATATAGATATAGAGAAGCTGCAAAGAACCAAGAAAATCACTATGGACAAGAAAATAAGTGACGTAAATCATTAATTTGGGCCCCATGCAGTAGGATTCTATCACCTATCAATTTTTTTTGTTTTATTTCGTGTAAAGAAATTGAAATTTTCAGATACCTCTAAACAAGGCCAGGGGTGGGGGTCACGTTCTCATATAGCTCTGACCCTCTCAGTCCTGCGCTATAATCGTATTATTTGTCATATCAGTTGATCTTTGTTTTTTTAAGATTAAGACTCCAGATTCTTATGTTTTATTTCGTGGAAAACGGGAGTGGTAAATACAAATTATCCGCTAACTCTTACATAGATGTGATTTTATATGAGTGAAATTTGTGACCCTCACAGTCATGAGTCTTATAAGCACAATATTATGTTGTATATAATTAACACACAACATAGATAAATATTTTCTTAAATATTGTTCATAAAAAAAGTCTGATTTTTAATCATAAAAAAAATCCAAACAAGACATGTAAAATATACGGCAAAACTATATTCAAGTGTAATATATAGCGATGGGTAATTCTTTTGCTTTCTGAATTTATATAAAACTTTCTTTGTATATCATTTTGCCTCCGAACTTGCATATAAAGAAGGAAAAATCTTGGGGATTTGTCCCTCATTCTTTTCCATAGAATTGCAGTTTCAATTCACATAATTCTGTAATGTTTTACGCATCATTATTGTCTTTCAATTTAACATAAAACGATCTAATATTTGTACTATATTCGAAGTCAACACCAAAAATCTTCAATTCTGCACAAGTATATGTCATCCTATCATTGTTTTATTTTGACTTTACGTTCTGTTTTTATAACTTAAAATTTTACTGTTTCAAGTCAAGACCAAACTACTTCAAATTTACATCGTGTAGTTTCAAGTCAACACATTGTATGATAAGCCTATCGTGACGTCATAATGATATAACATCGTGCTATCTTAGCTCAACAACACGTACTTTCAACAGTACGTCGTGTAGTTTTGAATGAGCATATTGTATGGCAAGCCTATCGTGATATTATTACGATATAACATCGTGCTATCTTAGCATAACATCACCTAGTTTAAACTGAAAATCATGTAGTTTCAAATGAGCATATCGTGTGGTAAGCCTATCGCGACATTCTAATGATATAACGACGTGCTATCTTAGCTTAACACCACGTACTTTCAGCTGTACATGGTGTAATTTTAGATGAGCAAATTGTATAATAAGCCTATCGTGACATTATAATGATATAACATCGTGCTATCGTAGCTGAACAACATGTACTTTCAACTGTACGTCGTGTAGTTTTGAATGAGCATATTGTATGGCAAGCCTATCGTGATATTATTATGATATAAGATATTGCTATCATAGCTCAACATCACGTACATTCAACTGTACGTCGTGTAGTTTTAAACGAGCATATCGTGTGGTAAGCCTATCGTGACATTCTAATGATATAACAACGTGCTATCTTAGCTTAACATCACGTACTTTCAACTGTACATTGTGTAGTTTTAAATGAGCAAATTGTATAAGAAGCCTATTGTGACATTATAATGATATAACATCGTGCTATCGTAGCTTAACATTACAAAACTTTAACTGTACGTCCTGTAGTTTCCAGTGAGCATCTTAGCTTAACACGTTGCATCGTGTTGTTTTAAGTCAACAAATTGTATGGTAAAGCTTTCGTTTCAATATAGTGGTGTAGCATCGTGTTATCTTAACTTAACATCATGTACTTTCAACTGTGCATCGTGGTGTTTTAAATCAACAGATTGCATGATAGACCAATCGTAATATCACAATGATATAACATCGTACTATCTCAGCTCAACATTTATTAATAACAAGTCAGCACCATACATTTTAGCTATTCATTTTATTTGTTATCATAGCTGTCGATATGGATGACTGAGCAGTATCAATCTGCAAGCTAACACCATGCAACGTCAACTTTACATCATGTACTTTAAACCCAACATTACGCGTGTTTGGCATATCATCACAACATCGTGACTTATCATTATACTATCACGACTAAAGCACTTGTCATTGCAAGTCAACATTGCGCAAATTCAACTTAGCATATTGTAATTTAGAGTTAGCATTTTGGTGACTCAATTCAACATCACGCTGTCTTAACTTTACATTTTAAGCTTCAGCATAACGTTTTGTAAATCTCTAATATATGACAGCTGAGGCTTTCCATACATGTTGATCGAAAACTTAATTTAGGTGAGCACTACATGTGCTAATTAATTTTCAGTTTTGGTGTCAAACTTAAATACCAATTGCTACCTTTTGATAAAAAATTCATGGAGCACATGAAAAATAAATGATAGAGTGAGCCATATATAGTTGTTTTTTTTTATGTTGTCCATACATTCCCATTTTTTGATAAAACTTTATCATATCATTTGTCAACTGATTTGGTGAATTAACATTTTTCACAATTGGTTAATATCTTCTTTCCAAGGTTGTTTTTCTTTTATTTTCCCTCGCACTTGCAGTGTCTGTGTGGTTGCCTAATTACTAATGAAAGGTGCATGTCATTGCTAAGGTCACTGCATACCGAAAAGCTGTCGCAGTGTTAGAGTACAGGAAGACAATAATTCAATATCAGTACATTTCTGAAGATTTGGATAAAACAAAAGATTTTTTTTTATAAATAAGAAAGTCTATACACAAAGTCTATACACATTTTTTTACAGTATAACTTAGCCATTCAAGTAAATAAAGCATATTCAATTTGTTTGTTAAATTTGAAGTATCATGTGACTTTAAATGATGATTTTTGATTTATTTTAAAGATTTGCATAAATTATTTAAATTTTTGATGGGTGATTGATTCATACTCTTTTAATAGTAGGCACCTATTGTTTTACATAGATACATTGTTGTAAGTTATAATAAAAGTCGTATTTTCTTTTACATATAAAAATAAAAACATGTTGTATAATTGCCAATTAATGTCTGAGAGATAACTCTCCACCAGAAACCAAATGATATAGAAGTTAACAGCTATAGGTCACCGTACTGTCAATCTTCAACAATGAGCAAAACCCATACTGCATAGTCCGCTAAATAAGGCCCAGAAATGACAATCGTAAAACAATTCAAAGGAGAAAATTAACGACCTGATTTATGTATAAAACAAAGAACGAAAAAACAAATATGATATACAGCCACAAACGACAACCACTGAATTACCTGGTGATTACAGGCTCCTGACTTGGGACAGGCACATACAGAATTTGGTGGAGTTAAACTAGTTTGAGGGCACCAAACCCTCCCCCCTAACCTGGAACAGTGATGTAACAGTACAATATAAGAACAAACTATAAAAGTCGGTTGAAAAGGAATGTTCTCTTGAATTTCTCTCCACTACATTGCTCCAATAGAGTGTTTAACTGTCTGTTTTTAATACAAATAGTATATACATGTAGTTACATACAACAGTCACTGAATTACAGGCTCCTGACTTGGGACATGTTTTTAATACAAATAGTATATATACATGTAATAACAAACAACAGTCACTGAATTACAGGCTCCTGACTTGGCACATGTTTGTAATACAAATAGTATATATACATGTTATAATAAACAACAATCACTGAATTACAGGCTCCTGACTTGGGACAGGCACATACAGAATGTGACAGGAAAAACATGTTTGTGGGTGCCAACCCCCCCCCCCCCCCTAACCTTGGATAGGGGTGTTACAGCACAACCTAAGAACAAAATGTAAAAATCATTTAAAAAGGCTTGACTCAGATCAGATCAACACAGAATACAACCAACAAAAAGACTCTTTAGACACAAAGTACCGATATGTGAATACTCACAGTTATTGAGAGCTAGTTTGAAGCCAATAACAGCTAATAAAAAATCATGTATCCAAGACTAAAATATCAATAAGTACACATCCAATGGATTTGGTGTAATATGTCATAAACAGTCAGAGATCATGATGAGTTTGTGCAGTACAAAAATATAAGTATTGACAATGTATGACCATACATTTTAATAGCTGTATACCAATAATATTTAGTTATCTTTTAATTTATTGATAACAAAATCAATCTTTGTACTGATTTTATTCATGTTATTGAGCTTCTAAATATAACATTGTTTTTTTTTTATTTTGAGCAGGTTAGAGGTTGAATGACAAGAACACTACATTTTTGTATGTCAGCACACAGATGAATAACAGCAATGGTGATACTGTCAAGTTAGAGATCAATAAGGAATCATACTAAGATAAAAGATGGGTACTGAAGGAGAAGACAACATAAATATGGGTACTGGAGCAGAAGACGGTATCAATCTGAAAATCAATGGAGAGGAATCTTCTGTAGATGTGGTGTCTCTTGTAGACAAGAAGGATATTTCCAAGGAGGACTGTCTCAAACTTGTTCAGTCTATAGTAAGGACTATTAAATTTAAATGGGTGGGGATGCCAGTAGGATGAAACTTCTCATATTCCCCCTGAAACCAACATACTATTTTGAATTATTTTATATGCATAAAATGGACATCACCCATAATCTTGATAATTGTCCTCTGACCCATGTATAAAATAAAACTTGACTTCCTGCCCTCCTACATCCATTTTCATGGAATAGACATGTATAAGTGGAAAAATATGTAAACTTCATCAGAAGACCTGCTACTAAAAATAGCTAGACAGCTGTGATTGATTACTTATATTGTTATCAACTAATTTTTGCAAGTTATTCAATTTTTTCGCAAGTTGAAAAAAATAACTGGATAATAAATTATTGCAAAATTGTTGAACTTTGATTTTCACTCATATAAATACTCCAACAAAATTAAAAAATCATAAAGACAAATGGCGGCTAAACAGAAGTTTGGGTTTTAGCTGAATTTTGCATCCAAATGACCCTATATCTGTCTCCGAATAACCTTCTGACGTCATGCAACAGTCACTTTTTCTGCCCCTGCCGTAGCGGAGGGGGCATTAAGTTTTACCCTTGTCCGTCCGTCCGTACGTTCCAAAGTTGGTTTCCGTTCTCTAACTTTAAATTGCCTCAACCAAATGTTATGAAACTTATACACAATGCTTATTACCACAAAATACAGATCAAGTTTGAATTTTGGGAGTGTCACTTTTATTGTTCTAGAGTTATGCCCATACAAATGGAAAAATTGCTGAATTTTTCGTTTCCATTCTCTAACTTAAGTTTGCCTCAACCAAATGTTATGAAACATATACACAATTGTTATTACCACAACAAATTTGTGTAGTGTCACTTTTACTGTTCTTCAGTTATGTCCCTTTATATCTTTATATGATAGACAAGGGGGGCATGATCTGTGCCCCATGGACACATTCCCCATTTATCTAATTATGACGTCAATATTTTTGACTTGTGATGCAATACTTTGCGAAAACTTATATATACATGTATGATTTTTGTCTCGCCTTGACGGAGTCAAAAAGCAAGACATAGGTATGCTGTTTCTGGCGGCAGCGTCATCATCATCAACATGATCAACAATGTATTGGTTTGTGATGAGGTCTAGTTTAGGGTGAACCACAAGTGGTAGATCAATGATATTTGGTATTCAGTTGTATTAGCATTGGCTCATCTCATTTCCATGGAGATTATTTAGCCCTGCCCCCTCAGTCATGGTCTATTGACTTTGAAACTTTTGCTTAGTTTACATGTATTAGTTTAAATTTTGTGATTAGGTCAGTTTATGGGGAACCACTAGTGGTAGGTCAATGATATTTGGTATGTAGTTGTATAAGCATTGGCAAATCTCATTTCCATGGAGATATTTGGCCCGTCCCCTCACTCAGTCATGGTCTATTGACTTTGAAACTTTTGCTTAGTTTACATGTATTAGTTTGTTATTAGGTCAGTTTAAGGAGAACCATTTGTGGTAGGTGAATGATAATTGGTATGCAGTTGTATAAGCGTTAGCACATCTCGTTTCTTTGGAGAATATTTGTTCCTTTCCCCTCAATCATGGTCTATTGACCTTGAAACTTTTGCTTAGTTTACATACATGTATTAGTTTGTGTTTAGATCAGTCTAAGATGAATCACTAATGTTAAGTCAATGATATTTGGTATGCAAACGTGAAGGCATTTGAAAGTCTCATTTCCATGGAAATTATAAAGCCCCACCCCAACATCATGGTTCATTGACTTTGAAACTTTAACATAGTTTACAAGTTAATGTTTGTGTTTAGGTTTGTTTAAAGGGAACGACTTATGATAAGTCAATGGTATTTGGTATGCAGTTGTATTACTACTGGCATATCTCATTTCCATGGAGATTGTTCATGCAGCCTTGTACCTTCAGTCATGGTTCATTGACTTTGAATATTTGCATAACTTACATATTTTAAAAAGTATTGCTATTTTAATTTCAACATTTGTATTATCAAAATAACAAAAAGGCGAGACATATCTCTGTGTTAACAGTTTATTAGTGATGGCGGACAAATTTGCATACAAGTGTAAATACCTCTATAGACTTCAAAGGGGAAACATGAAAAAATGTATGCATGAAAATAAGTTGGTTTACAGTGTCTAAAATTGTATGTTTCAGTGTAAGAAGCTTGCCATAGATGGAGATGAAATAATGTTCATGACAGTTAATTTCTATGTTTCAGTATAAGAAGCTTGCTATAGATGGAGATGAAATGATGTTTATGACAGTTAATTTGTATGTTTAAGTGTAAGAAGCTTGCCATAGATGGAGATGAAATGATGTTCATGACAGTTAATTTCTATGTTTCAGTGTAAGAAGCTTGCCATAGATGGAGATGAAATAATGTTCATGACAGTTAATTTGTATGTTTCAGTGTAAGAAGCTTGCTATAGATGGAGATGAAATGATGTTTATGACAGTTAATTTGTATGTTTCAGTGTAAGAAGCTTGCCATAGATGGAGATGAAATGATGTTCATGACAGTTAATTTCTATGTTTCAGTGTAAGAAGCTTGCCATAGATGGAGATCAGGGGTTAAAAAATCCACTAGCCCGATGCCCGGGACTAGACTTTTACACTTCGAGCAATTAAAACTTGTAACCGAATATGCCCGACGGACTAGTAACAAACAATTCTTGGCATTTCCAACATAGTAAGTGGAAAATCCCCTCATCACTATTGTATCTTAGGCTAGCCAATCAGATTCAATTACGTACGTCATCCGGGATTCCAAGAATTTGAACCGATTTTGTACATGTTTTAAAAATAGAACAACTAACTCTGCGTGGACCGGTATCATGTATTGATCGCAATTCACGTACTTTCAATATCAATTTCTCAGTACAGGGGGTATTGTACATTGCTTATGCCGAGATTTTCAATTAATGGTACTTGGGTGTATGATGTAATGATCGATATTGACCTGTCTTGTCGGACAGCTGTTAATTTGAGCTTGAAACCATGCACAAATTATTTCTAAACATTTTAGTACGGCCACCACAGGAACTTTGTCAGTTTTAAAACGAAAAAACGGTAGATGAAGGGGGTAATGAGGCTGAAAATTGATCCCAAAAAATGCCAAATACGACCAGGAAAAGCGGAAAAAAATATTTATAGTGTCATGGACAGAAAGATTCCCCATGCGCAAGGTCGACTGTTACTGATGATAAACAAGAGATGATGTTTTGTGAATATTGCCGTTATTTTCCCGATCACGCTGATAAAAAGTCTGCTTTGTATGTGGGAACAACAAATATACGAATTGAACCACTGGTTTAACATGACAATATCAATGAACATGTTTTCTGTGCCCGAAAATATTTAACCCATAGTACAAGGGATATCCAAAAAGATGTCTAGAGATCCTTGTTATAACTAATAAAACAAAAATTTATTTGATTTATTTTATCAAATACCGTGTATAATGCCGCATTCAAAACAAGGGACACCCACTCTAAATTTGAAAGGTATACTCGGGCTAGCGGGTCAGTTTTGATGGGCTAGCAGCTCTTTCAACAGGGCTAGTAAAATCCTGCTACCAATAAGTCCTGGGCTAGTGAGCTGTAACAAATTTTTTTAACCCCTGGGAGATGAAATATTGTTCATGACAGTTAATTTCTATGTTTCAGTGTAAGAAGCTTGCCATAAATGGAGATGAAATAATGTTCATGACAGTTAATTTCTATGTTTCAGTGTAAGAAGCTTGCCATAGATGGAGATGAAATAATGTTCATGACAGTTAATTTCTATGTTTCAGTGTAAGAAGCTTGCCATAGATGGAGATGAAATAATGTTCATGACAGTTAATTTCTATGTTTCAGTGTAAGAAGCTTGCCATAGATGGAGATGAAATAATGTTCATGACAGTAAATTTCTATGTTTCAGTGTAAGAAGCTTGCCATAGATGGAGATGAAATGATGTTTATGACAGTTAATTTGACACAGAAGACAACCACTTGTGTAGGATCACAGCTTGGTGTCAATTTCCTTAACCACAAACTTCATATAAGCAAGGAAGATCATCCAGACAACCCAAACATATCGCAGATGTTCCAGCAATTCCTTGAAGGTCTGCTTATATTAACAGGGGCCAATCAAGGATTTTTGAAAGGGGGACGTACATGTAGTTACAGAAAACGGCTATTCCATTAAAACGTATTTGGGAGGGTAGGAAAGGAAGTTTAATTATTGAATGTTGGTCATGGGTCTTTTTTCAGTATGCGTCTATTATTACCATTATGCAAAATTATCTAAAAAATTGTTCTTGGTTGTAGGGATATTTTGAAAGTCCCTTCCTACCCTCCTACATACATTTAAATGGAATAACCCTTAATATATACTGCCAGAAATGTTTTGAAGATTTTTTCCCCCAAAATGAATTTTTTTTTATGATGGAGAGGGTATACACCCATCTACCCCTGTATCTGCCACTGATTAAGTGTCCATTGACACTATTTTGTGGTATGACAAAATGTGAAACAATTCTAAAGAGAAAACCAACACCTGATTTATGAGGAAACAACTAACAAAAAACATTTACTGTAAATTCCGAAATTTTTGCAGGCATTTATTATTGCTTTTTTTGTAAAAAAGGACAAAAATTCAAGATTTATTATTGCGGTTTCAGGAAAATCTGCATACAGATATATGTATCAGATATCAGAATGCGAGCTCTTATTTTTGTGGGTGTCACCTAGTCACATTTTTCGCAAAAATAAGAACCTAGCAACTATTTCTGAATTTACAGTACTTAAACTTTCTTTGTTTTCATAATACAAGAACTTTACTGAATGTCAGTACTTTGATCTTAAACCTTCACATTTTGAATTTCTACAAGTCCCAAACCTTTGGTATAGTTATTTGTGAACGATAAATATAAATGTTAATTGTGCGTAGTCCAAAGTATGTTTTTTGTTTGATTGAAGGGCTATTTATAAGGCAAAAAAAAAATATATGTCTGTTTACGGTTACCCGACCGACCCTACTTATGAGCGCCGACCCGAAGTCATTTTATTTCCATCATAAAGTGAAAAATAAACTGAACTCGTGTCAAAAGCAAAGTTAGTGTTGCCAATAATATAAACCAATTGCCTGATACATCCCAATGTTCACAATCGTGAATATGACAGTTGTTTTAAGGAAATTTGCGATGAAATAAACACTTTGCCGCCATTTTTTTCCAACCAATAACCAAGGGAAATAATCCAATCATTAAAATAACGGGTAAAATCGGCCCATGATCAACTCGGACAACGACAAGACGAAACCGCATGACTCAAAATCATGTCAAAAAATAAAATGGAAATACCGACCTACCTACCCTATTTTTTTAAAGTATGTAACCTTAAACAGACATATATTTTTTTTTGGCCTTATGAATAAAAAAAGATTCAGGACAGTAACAATACAAAACAATTAAGACATCAAGAGTTCTATTGCTGCTAAAACAAAAGTTTACTTTTGCCATTCTCAATGGTGATGGAAACCAGTTTTTATATTTGCATCATCATTATTATAAAGCTCTGACCTTCGTGGGTTAGTCATGTGACAAAATAACAATGTAATACAGAACAAAAAAATCACTCCTGCTGGTGTTTAAGGAATTCCCTTTGAATCTGGGTGAATAAGAAGATGTGATATGACTGCAAATTTAACCTGTTATGTCTGTAGAACCTGAAGGATATGATTTGTATTTTTCTGAAATAAGCTTCAGCAGGTCCACATTGGACTATTTTTTTATGCCCCCGCCGTGGCGGATAGGGCATTAAGTTTTACCCTTGTCCATCTGTACGTACATAAGTCCGTCAGTACGTCCCAAAATTGGTTTCCGTTCTTTAACTTTAGTTTTCCTCAACCAAATGTTATTAAACTTGTACACAATACTTATTACCACAAGACACAGATCAAGTTTGAATTTTGGTGGCATCACTTTTACTGTTCTAGAGTTATGCCCCTTTACAAATGGAAAAATTGCTGAATTTTTTGTTTCAGTTCTCCAACTTTAGTTTGCCTCAACCAGATGTTATGAAACTTATACACAATGCTTATTACCACAAAACACAGATGAAGTTTGAATATTGGTGGCGTCACTTTTACCGTTCTATAGCTATGCCCCTTTACCAATGGAAAGTTTTTCAGTTCTCTAACTTTAGTTTGGCTCAATCAAATGTTATGAAACTTATACACAATGCTTATTACCACAAAACACAGATCAAGTTTGAATTTTGGTGGCGTCACTTTAACCGTTCTATAGTTATGCCCCTTTAAAATTGGAAAAATTGCTAAATTTTTTGTTTCCGTTCTCTTACTTTAGTTTGCCTCAACCAAATGTTATGAAACTTAAATACACAATGCTTATTACCACAAAACACAGATCAAGTTTGAATATTGGTGGCGTCACTTTTACCGTTCTAGAGCTATGCCCCTTTACCAATGGAAAATTTTTCAGTTCTCTAACTTTAGTTTGGCTCAACTAAATGTTATGAAACTTATACACAATGCTTATTACCAAAAAACACAGATCAAGTTTGAATTTTGGTGGCGTCACTCTAACTGTTCTATAGTTATGCCCCTTTAAAATTGGAAAAAATGCTAAATTTTTCGTTTCCATTCTCTTAAGTTTGCCTCAACCAAATGTTGTGAAACATATACACAATGGTTATTACCACAAAACACAGATTGAGTTTGAATTTTGGTGGAGTCACTAACCGTTCTAGAGTTATGCCCCACAAATAGAAAAATTACTGAATTTTTCTTTTCTGTTCTCTAACTTTAGTTTGCCTCAACCAAATGTTATGAAACTTACACACAATGCTTATTACCACAAAGCACAGATTGAGTTTGAATTTCGGTGGCGCCACGTCTACTGCTGTAGAGTAATGCCCCTTTACAAATGGAAAAATTGCTGATTTTATTGTTTCCGTTCTCTTACTTAAGTTTGCCTCAACCAAATGTTATGAAACTTATACATAATGCTTATTACCAGAAAACTCAGATCAAGTACAAATTTGGGTAGCGTCACTTTTACTGTTCTTGAGTTATGTCCTTTATAACATTGTATGCAAGCGGGGGCATCATCTGTGTCCATGGGGACAAATTCCCCATTTATTTTAGATGTAAAAATAAAACGGTTTTAAACCCCAAAAATGCCCCAAACAACAGAATTACCAAAACAATCTGAATTTTCCTTTGCTGAGGGAGTTGCAACCTTAGTTTTATAACAGTTCACCATCTTAAAATCTAATGCATTTGGCTAATATTTTATGTTTTATAATATGTTTAAAAATGTACACCAAAATGTTGTGATTGGCCAATGACGTTCTCAATATAGGAATTAAATTCAAACAATGACTTGACCTTTATTTCATTTTGGGGTACAAACAATGAAATTACCCATAGTCCTTGTGACTTTGAAACAGGGAATTCAATGCTTTTATAAATAGGTATTAACATTATACACATTTATTGTCGAGCCTTCGACTTTAGTCAAAAAAGCGAGACATAGCGATCCTACATTCTGTCGGCGTCGCTGTCGTCGTCAGCGGCAGCGTCCACAAATATTCACTCTGTGGTTTAAAGTTTTTGAAATTTTAATAACTTTCTTCAACTATCCTGGATTTCTACCAAACATAAACAGAAGTTTGTTTATGATCATAAGATAGTATCCAGAAAAAATTTTTGTAAAAATAAAATTCCTGTTTTTCTGTATTTAACTTGTAAATGGACTTAGTTTTTCTGCCGGGAAACATTACATTCACTCTGTGGTTAAAGTTTTTGAAATTTTAATAACTTTCTTAAACTATCCTGGATTTCTACCAAACTTGGACAGAAGCTTGTTTATGATCAAAAGCTAGTATCTAGAAGGAAATTTTGTACCTGTTTATCCGTATTTTACTTATAAATGGACTTAGTTTTATTCCAGTTAACATTATGTACAGTCTGCAGTTAAAGTTTTTAACAAAACATTTATTAAATTCATAAACTATCCTGGATTTATACCAAACTTTGACAGAAGCTTCTTACAATCAAAAGATAGTATCTAAAGGAATATTTTTATTGATTTTTTTCCTCATTTTTGTTGAGCCTGCGATTAACAGCAAAAGTAGGCGAGACACTGGGTTCCGCGGAACCCTTACGAATTTTTTATTTTTATTTCAGATCATTATGAAATTTCCAATATATGTGATGACAAACAAATACCATTCAGTCCAGCGAGTTCTGTGATCATGGAGTCCCCTTCTTACACACCCTTCTCTTCACCACGACCATATAAAGCTGTCAAACTACCAAGTAGTAAATCAGGTCAGTTGAATATACAGTATGTTTAAAATTATGCCTAATAAACCTATGTTGGATATATATCAATGACACTGCAACCAAAGACACCAAAAACCAAATGATATCTTTAACATGAAACTTAAACTTTAAGTGAACATAATATCTTCACTTATCATAATATATTCACTTCTTATCATTATATCTTCCACTTCATTTGAACTTCAGTGGATAGTTGTCTCATTGGCAATCATACCACAACTCCTTATTTTTGGAAAGAACTGTGAAACATTTGGATTATATCTTTGTAGCAGTTCATTCAAGTATGTATGTCTAAAGTTTTGTCAATTTGCCAGCTATTTTTGTCATTTTAATCAGAAAAGTAGTATACTTATGTTTCAACTTACAAAATGCCCCCAAAACACCCTTTTTAAATTATTTTTTGCAGACTTATAAAGATCTTAGTTTCAAGTCTATCTGTTGGTCCGATGTCCTACACAAGTCTATCTGTTGGTCCGATGTCCTACACAAGTCTATCTGTTGGTCCGATGTCCTACACAAGTCTATCTGTTGGTCTGATGTCCTACAGGTCTATCTGTTGTTCCTCTGTCCTACACAAGTCTGTCTGTTGTTCCTCTGTCCTACACAAGTCTGTCTGTTGGTCCGATATCCTACACAAGTCAATCTGTTGGTCAGATGTCCTACAAGGATAATTGATAAACTTATTGGAAGAATCTTTATTTGGTAATTTCTTCTGTTTCTAAAGATAAAACGTACAAGCTGAAACATGTAATAGGGAACATTATTTGGTTAAGATATGCAATTACAATTTAAAAGACATTGTTGTGCAAATTCAGGGACACGCTATCATTGATTCAAATTTAGCTCATTTTATCTACTGAAAAAGTGCTTTTCTTTCTAAAGACATGCACTTAATGCAATTGTTAGAAATAGTGCAATATTAATGTTCTTTTTTGTCTACACCATACCTAAATATGATTTGAAATTATTCAAACTACTCTTCCAATCTTTCCATTCGATCACATTGATTATATAATATCTTCAACAATAGTCAGTTGGTGTCTGTACAATATGTTTAAATCCAAATTGTATTCAAGTTAAAAAAAGTTGAGATTAATTTAAGCATAAACCATAAAATTTCTTCCATCAAGACCAAATTCTACAAAAAAATAAACCATTAAGTATGTATGACACACAAACAAACACTTGACAAAAATGTATGAACCTTTATCTCAAGGCTGTTAACCAGTCAGGGGCATTACTTAAACAAGTAACTTTTAAAATTACCTATACAAGTAATGTTGAAAACTAGGCTATTTTAAATATTACTTATATAAGTAACTTTTCTAAATATTATTTTTATAGATGTCCATATATACAGATTTTACTAGCTTTAACAAATGTTCACAGTCATCTGGTTATTTTTCCCATGAAATATAAAATCTAATCCATCTGAAACACTAATTGCCTTTCTGACGCACTTATATCCACGCTTCTGGGTCAAAGATTGGTCTCTTGGGACTATTAAAATATCATTTTCCTCGAAAATCTTGAAGGTAGACAGATATAAATAGATAGGAACTTGTGAATTAATTAAGACTTGAAGTTATTTATAATTTGTAACCTAAACATATGTTCCTTAAATAAGTGTAATTACTAATTCTTTCAAAGATGTATAAAATATTACTTATTTAAGTAATATTTTTGTCATTATTTTTAAAAAATTCTTCATTTTATGATATAAAATGATATAAAAATTCATGAAAACTACATTTAGTCCATGCTTCTGTTGAAATTCAAAATAACTCTATTGAGTAATTTTATAATTTTCAAAAAACAAAAATTACCTATATAAGTAACTAAAAAAAATGACTTGTTTAAGTAATGCCCCTGACTGTTAACATGTTTACTTTATTGTGTGTATTTTGTAATTTTCACATGCTCCTCTATTTCTGCCAATTCAAAATGAACCATAGATTTTTTTTATAAATATTTAAATCAAAAGCTTGACTCTTTTTTTCAAGATTTAACTTATGTGGTGATATAAAAAAAAAAATAGCAGGTCCAATACAACATGTACAATTGACCATATGCATGTTGACTTTTGCCCATTCTGTACCCACTCCTATTGTGGACGGTTTGATATGAAGGAATCCACTTGAGCTGTAGTGTAACAAATAAAGCAGTCATGTCATTTTCAGCATGTTTCCTCGTGTTAAGAGGATGATATGCATTTGGGATATGGGGGTAAAAAATGTGGGGATATGGGATATAGGGGGGTAAAACAAGTGGGATCGGGAAAAAAGGAAATAAAAGTGGGAAGTGGGAAAAATTACAAAAAAGCTGAATTTGGAAAATGAGCTCCCCCAAATTACACCCCTCTACACTCTTGTGCATTTATTTTTGCAATTTTTTAACAATTGACCAAAGTGGGAGGTTAATTATTGCAATTTCAAAAGAGCTTCATGCAAATAATTCTATCATTATTTAACATGAGATTTTTTATTTTTGCAATATGTATCCTGTCACAATTTTCGCAATACTAAAAACATCACAAAAATTGATTAGCAAATTTATTATGAACTGCTTGTATTTAGTAAGGATCCATATCTCTTCTGACAATATATACAATTTTGATTATTTTTCCAGGTAAACTTTTGACCCCCAAAATTGAAGTGATGGAATCTGATTTTGATGGTAATTCTACAGCTACAGACAGTCAGGAAGATGACAACCAGCTGAGCTTGGAATCGTATGTCAACTCTCTGCCACTGACAGAACAAAGCTTTCTGATAGGAACCCCAAAGGATCAGGCCATTCAACAAGTGATAAATAACAATCCTATTACAAACCAAGGTGTATTAGCCCGTCTGCTGTCACCAAGTATTCAAGGTCTCCAAGCATTCCAGCAATTTCAATCACCAACCATTCCAAATTCTTCTGCAGTTCCAGTTTTCCAACCACCAGTTATTCAGAACTCTGCTAACTTCACAGGATTCCGGTCTCCAGCCAATCAGAATACAGCAGAGCTTCTGTTGCAAACCAATCAAAATGAATTTCATTCTCCAACAACATTGAATATCAGATCAGTTTTAGCAAGATTATTAACACCTTCCAAACATCAAATGAATGCTACACAAAGTCCAACATCAGTACCAGCTTTTCCAACACCAGCCAGTTTTCAATCAATTAAACCACAAACAGCTCAAAACCAGTCTAGTCCAGTTCCAACTCCTATTAGCCTTCATCCCATCCAGCTACAACAGGTTTCAAACCAGTCAGAACCAGTCAATTCTTTTATACCTGTTCAACCACCATCTGAACCAGGGGGTGAGAAACGGTCTACTGGTGGAAAGAGAGGACGAGGCCGTCCTAAAGGGAGTTTTAAGAGAGTTGAGGTACCAATGGAGAGTGAAACAGACGAAACTGAAAATGAAGGTGAAAAGACTGATAAAACAGTGACGTTGCGTAGTGGTCGAAAGGTCAGAGTTCCTTCATGGAGAAAAGATATATTGGAAGAATCATTGAAAATTAACAGAAAGAAATTGGAAGAAATCACAGATATTCAGATCAAGCAGGAACGTATATCCCCAGCTTTCCCAGAAACACCAGAAGAAGATCAGGATGAGGATGTTCGTGTAGAGTTTGATTTTGACATTCTGGCCGAACTAAAGAAAGAATCTGATCTGGATCCTGACCAGAGTGATGACTCAAGTTGGTGTGGAACCGTTCACTTGACTTCCGGTGATGATTCAACTCCAAATAGAGTTCCTTTCAAGTTTACATTTCCCGTTGAAAAGAAACAGAAATTGGAGGAAAAAGAAAACGATGCTGTTAAAGTTGTTCAGAATGAAGATATAGATATCAGCTATGACAACACTTTAAGTTCATTGGGACTTGCACGTAAACGAGCAAGAACCATCAACAGGTGTCCAGATTTTACAGGGAGAGGACACATATGGAGATGTGAGGATGGAAGGTTTAATTACTACCAAATGTATACTGTACAAAATATTTCATGGGGTCGGCAGTTCACTTGCAAAATATGTAAACGTGTCATGCAGGGAAATGAGAGCTTAAAAACTCATTGTTTTACCCATGAAGCTTTTAATAAACTGCACCCTGTTTGCCAGGCCTGTGACAGAATATTTGATAATCATCAAGCATTGGAAAACCACATTGGGTTACATGAGAAGCTTTACTCCTGTCATACATGTGAGGTCAAATTTGTATCTAAACTTGCACTGATTCAACATTTGAACTGGGTTCACAAGGAGATGTACAGTTGCCCTCGGTGTGACAAAACTTTTACTTCATCAAAAGATCTAAGCAACCATTTAGAAGAATGTTTTGATGAAAAAGCCCTAGTCACCAGAGGAGGAGTCAAACATTTGACCGAGGACTGGATCGGCATAAAGGAGGACGGAAAGGTAACTTTCAAATGTCGCTCCTGTAAAGATGTCTTTGAGACCGTGGAAGAATACAATAAACACATGCTGCAGCACAAATCTAAGTTTGTTCAGAAACTGAATGAAAAGCTAGAAAAAAGTATGTCAACAGAAAAGCCATCAACTGATGTCGATGACAAATCCACAACATGTGAATTGTGTAATAAAATCTTTGAAACTCCCGTTCATTTGGCAAAACACAAGAAAGCCAAACACAAAAAAGACCAAGATGATGATGAAGACACTGATGAAGATGTCTCACCAGATGCATATAAATGTTCGTCTTGTAATATACATTTCGACTCAGCAGTTGCATTTTCTCATCATTGTATGAAATATCACCCAGACAATCCTATGATTTCATTGGAAGATGATACTGATTTTCCTTGCAATTTATGTTCAAAGAGGATGCGTACTAAAGAAGGCTATGATACTCATATCAAGATGCATGATAATATGATGAAGAAACAATGCAAAATGTGTGGGACTTTCTTACATCAGGAGGCTAGCATTGATTTACACTGCTGTGTGAAAGAAGATTCGGAATTTACTTGTGAAAAATGCTCTCTTTGTTTCTATAACCAAGGCTTTCTTGCTGGGCATCAGCATCATGTACATGGCAAACCACTTGAGGATATCAAGGTCAAGGACAATGACACAGGTCAGCCGATTTGTAACATTTGTGGGAAGATTTTCAAAAAAGCTTCTGATTTGGAAGGACATAGGTCTATTCATACGGGAGAATTGCCATTTGTTTGTCATTTGTGTCATAAGAGTTTCCGTCTGCGTTCAACCCTGAAAACTCATCTGATGACTCACAGGGACTTCCATGAATTCATGTGCGAGGTCTGTGGGCGAACGTTTAAACTTATTGAAAGCTTAAGACTACATAGACGCCTTCACAATAAAACTTGCTACTTCAAATGTAAACACTGTCCAAGAGAGTTCAGAGCTTACGATGGACTGAAATACCACATGCTACAATGTCACAAAGATGAAGTGAAAGGAAAAAAGTTGAAAATTTATAAATGTGAACATTGCAATAAAGATATGGCCACTCATCAACAATATGTCAGGCATGTCAGCATCCATACCAATGAAAAACCTTTACAATGTGATCAGTGTGGTACTCGTTGGGCCACCATCTCACAACTTAATGCACACAAGAAAAAACACAACGCTGAAAATTTGAAGTTTGCCTGTGATGTCTGTAATATTAAATTCCCAATTCTTTCCAAACTTAAGCGCCATGTGAAAACTGCCAAACATATTGATAATTGTAGAATTCAGACTTTACCAATAGACACTGTCCGTCTAGAAGAGGAAACAGGGGCTGATCCACCGCAGAATACTAACCGCATTATCACTGATGTTACTGACATAGAAGAGAAAGTAGAGATTATGTTTTATGAAATAAATTTACCAGAAGATGAGAACTCCCTTGGTGAGGAGACTTCAATGATTTACGACATATCTGTTGTTCCGGAGAACCAGAATGGTGCACTGTTTGAAGCATCAACTTCAAATGGCTCTGGAACAGACTTGCAGGTGGCTGCCAATATGTCTGTTGTAGGGAGGTCAAATAATAGCTCACAGTTACAGCAAACTACAGTGAATGCTATTACAGGAAGTGGGAATTCCAGTAGTAATGCTGAATTGAAAGAGGCCATTGGAACAATTACAGGGAACACAAATTCCGAAAATGTTAATGTTCAAATACAGCAGGCTGTAGTAGAAGCTATGGCGCAAGCAATAAATTCAGACAATGTGAGTTCAAGTCAGGTAGACAAGTCTGTAGTCAGTACTGTTAAAAGTAATGTTAATTCAAATAGTGTTTTAGAAGTGTCCCCAGTTAGGGCCTCAGCTGTTACTCAGGGTATAGATCATATGACAAAAATTGGGGCAGTAGCTGTCAAATTGAATGCAGAAGTAGACAGAATTTCAGCAGTAACAAATACTGATAAATATAATACAGATCTACAATTAACTCAGAGTTATGACACAACTTCTGACACTGAAAACACTGATCTTATAAGTACAGAAGGGTCAGCTACGGAAGTTGATTCATGATGTTAAGATGATTTATAGTTTCTGAATTTTTTTGTTTCTTTTTTAATTTGTTTAGTACCATGTTGAGATCACACCATACATTATGATTCATTTTAAATTTCTGCTAAAAAAAATTTATTTTTAAGAGAATGATATTTCATTTGATTTTTTTGTTAAAACTTTCATATATACCCCACATATCTTTTATTCATATTTCATTAACAAATTGTTAAAATAGACTAAAAAATTACTGAATTAAATTTTTAATTTTGATTTAAATTTTAATTTTAGTATATTATTTTGATAAATAAGGACCTAGTATGATTTGGCTTAGTTCAAAGTTTGTTGTATAATTTTTTTGAGTGTTTTTTTTATAGAATGACACAACAATTTGTTTATTCTCATCTGATATAAAATTTTAAATATGGGCACGCACACCAGCTTTTTCTTCATTTTTTTTTTATATGGATATTGGACCTTTTCTACCCATTTAAGATGGTAGTGTGCAAAATTTAGAGGTGGAAAATTAAGCTTATTTTTTGTATTTGATATTTGAGTGGACGGCCATGATGGAAATGCCAATAAAGACCCAACTTGAGCTGTAGTGCAAGATCAAGAACAAGAACTTTGTTTTATTTTTACAATTTTTGTTTAAATTTAATTTTAAGAAAATTATTTTCTATAAACAAACAATAATGAATCAATTTTTTATAACATTTGCATTTTATGCGATACATTGTACATTTGTAATAATTTTTGAATTGAGAAAAATGTTGTCTGTATGTTTTATTTTGTTGAATGATATTACATATTTGTATATTGTTTTGTTTTGTGAATATCTTATATGTTTATAAGACTAAATGTTCAAAAGGTTCATGCTGTACAAGAAATTATAAGGGTGTTCAAATGTTTTTCTATTAGTTTAAATAAGAATTTAGAGAGAGTTTTGATGGTACATATTTTTGAAGTTTTGAAATGTATATTTTTGCTGTTAAGATTTTATATATATAAAGAATAAAATTCAAATTGTTGTAGAAATGGGAAAAACAGTATTGCATAAACTATCGCTCAAGTGGTTCTCGTCATCTTCTCCTGTCCATAGTGGAATTTAGCACAAAGATTTTGATATGCCACTAATTTTTTTTTATCATAAAAAATGCTCAAGCACAATACTGTGGATTCATTATTATTTGTTGAATACCAATTTCTACGGATTTTCTGGGTGACAAATTTAAATGTTCAAAGAAGAACAAATTTTCTATAGGCTTGTATACAGACTTTTGCAAAACCACGAAATCGAATATTCCAAAAAATGAATCCTCAGTAGATCAAACTAAGCTGGTCCATAAATGTAGTGGACATACCACTCATTTTCTTTCATCATAAAACCTACTCAAATATAGTACTTTAAAAATGAGTAAAGTTTTTTTTTCACAATCTAATTTTAAGAACGGGATATCTGAATTTAATGGACAGATGGAGATGACTGTGGTAAATCCACCTATGGTATAGTGTATACTGAACTGGCTGTTTGTAATCCACCTTTTGTATAGTGTATACTGAACCGGCTGTTTGTAATCCACCTTTTGTATAGTGTATACTGAACCGGCTGTTTGTGTTTTGTTAGTGAAATTGTTATAATTTTAGCAAATTAAGGCAATGGTGTAGTATACATCGAGGAGATGGCAAACATGCAATTCAGGAATATACATGTATCTTCCTCATACAAATGTCTGATTCCTTGTGTGGCTTTGTATTACTTTTGGATTTTAAATATTTTGGCCTTGAGCATTTATTGTCAAAATATACATCTGATGATGCAGTGAAATTGGTACCAATTATGATATTTACTTAAACAGCACTGCATTTCTGATTTAAAGTGTTATCTGCCCTTACCCAGGTTTCCTCTTAAATTGTACACGTTTAATTCCATTTTGAGTTTATTTCCTTTTCGTGCTCAAATTATAACTTAAGTTATAATTGTTATTTTTATTCCTGTAGAATAATGTAATTTTGTTTATACTGTGAAAAGAGTGCAGTATTTGTGGTTTAAATGTAAAAGGTTTTGATTTTTATACTCTATGAATAAGAGTGATTTTCATGTGTTTTAAGGGTTAAATGTTTTGATATTATCATGATATATCTAAACACATTTAGTTTTAACATACACATAGTGTAAATGATTTTTTCTGTGAATTTTGTCTTTTTCTGTGGTTTCATTATTATTCGTAGGATACCAACTATCATGGCCAAATTCAAAATAAAAAGATAATGACAAAATCCAACTATCGTTATGATCTTGTATTTGTTGATCTAGATTAACCGTTACAATTTTCTATAGGCTTGAATGATGACTTTTAAAAAAATTATGAAATCAAATGACAACGAAAACACAATTTTACCTCAATCCACGAAAACTTGTACTCGTTAAAAAATAAATGTTGAATAGACTGTACCCTGTGAAATGTGAATTTGTATTTAAAATCAGTTTGTCAAATTAAGACACTGCTACATAAATGCACATTTCATACAGGACAAATAGGTTGTAAAAACGCCCAAGGAGGTTGATATTTTGTGTGTTGATGCAACATTAGTATAATGTAAAAATATTTGTTAAGGATATCAAATTATGATTTGAGACAGAAGAAAATGTTTTTGGTACTTAATTAATATCAATGTCAAAGTATATTTTTTCCTCCTAACAGAAGTTCCTTTTGCAACTTTATTTTAAATAATGCTGTGATATCTGTTCCTGTTTATTCTAAGAAAAATTCTATACCCTTTTTTTATACGCCCGTTTACGGGACGTATTATGGTATACCGTTGTCCGTATGTCGGTCTGTCCGTCCGTCGTTAACATGTCGGACATTAACTCAAAAACGCTTCAACCAATTTGCATAAAACTTTGGTGAATTGTTCATATCTATTGATGTGAGCTCCCTTTTGTTTTTTATAAAATTTAGATTTTACGTTTCTGAGTTATGGAGTTTTATTCATTAAAAAAGGGGGGATTTTCCAGTTTTCGGACAATAACTCAAAAATGCTTTCACCAATTTGCAAGAAACTTTGGTCAATTGTTTATATCTATTGACATGAGCTCCCTTTTGATTTTTATAAATTTTAGATTTTATGTTTCCGAGTTATGGAGTTTTATTGATAAAAAAAAGGGGGATTTTCCAGTTTTCGGACAATAACTCAAAAATGCTTTCAGCAGTTTTCAGGAAACTTTGGAGAATTGTTTATATCTATTGATGTAAGCTCCCTTTCAAATTTTATAAATTTTAGATTTTACATTTCCGAGTTATGGGATTTTATTCATAAAAAAGGGGTGATTTTCTAGTTTTTTGACAATACCTTTAAAGTGCTTTGAGCAGTTTTCATTAAACTTTGGTGATTGGTTTATATCAATTAAGATAACCTTCCTTTAGTTTTTTCACAAATTTCTGATATGACATTGAGAACTTATTTAACTTTATTTTTAAAAAATGCGACGGGCGTATCATGCGCTCATGGCTCAGCTGTTTATTGTCAATCTGATATTGAATTGCACATCCTGTGTCCAAGCTTTGCTTACAAGGAACTGGAAATGCTCTGTTCTGCTTTTTGTTTTAAAGACCTTTCAGGATCCTCTGATTTTGCCTTAGTGATACACAACATCAAATTTGGCAATGTTTGAGCCACAGATTTGGAAATGTTTAGTACAACACATCCATTCTGTAAGGTGATGTGGATATTTATAGAAATAGAACTCTTCCTTGTGCATTCTTGGAGAAATAAAGAAATGATCAACATTAAAAATCAAGAGTAATGTTTGAGATGAAATCCATGTTTTTGTCTCGCCTTGACAGAGTCAAAAAGCGAGACATAGGTATGCTGTTTCTGGTGGCGGCGGCAACAATGTGTTAGTTTGTGATTAGGTCTAGTTTTTGGTAAACCCGAAGTGGTAAGTCAATGATATTTGGTATGCAATTGTATTAGCATTGGCACATCTCATTTCTATGGAGATTATGTGGCCCTGCCCCCTCAGTCATGGTCTATTGACTTTGAAACTTTTGCTTAGTTTACTTGTATTAGCTTGTGATTAGGTCAGTTTATAAGGAACCACTAGTGGTAAGTCAATGATATTTGGCATGCAGTTGTATAAGCATTGGCATATTTCATTTCCATGGAGAGTATTTGGCTCTGCCCCCTTAGTAATGGTCTATTGACTTTGAAAATTTTGCTTAGTTTACATGTATAAGTTTGTGATTAGGTCAGTTCAAGGGGAACCATTAGTAGTAGGCCAATGTTAATTGGTATTCAGATGTATAAGCATTAGCACATCTCATTTCCATGGAGAATATTTGGCCCCGCCCCCTCAGTCATGGTCTATTGACTTTGAAACTTTTACTTAGTTTACATGTATTAGTTAGTGATTAGATTAGTTTAAGATGAACTAAATGGTATGCAAATTTATTGGCATTTGCAAGTATCGCTTCCATGGAGATTATATAGGCCCACCCCCTCATCATGGTTCATTGACTTTGAAACTTTCACATAGTTTACAAGTTAATGTTTGTGTTGGTTTGTTTAAAGGAGACAACTTATAATAAGTCAATGGTATTTGGTATGCAGTTGTATTAGCATTGGCACATCTCATTTTCATGGAAATTGTTTAGCCATGTACCTTCAGTCATGGTTCATCTACTTTGAATATTTGCATAACTTACTTGTTAAAGTATTGCTATTTTAATTTCAACATTTGCATTATCAAAATTACAAAAAGGCGAGATATATCTCTGTGATAACAGCTAGCTAGTTTATTATTATAATTTCAGCATTCATTATATTAATTGTTACACATGTGGTGGGATTGAACAAGCTAACCATGAACATCTCAATCTAACACTTACAAGTAGCTTAAAGTACATTCAGATCTGTTATTGTTTATACACTGTCAATGGTGTTTTTAGATGAAGTGTAAATTTACTGCTATTATTGTAAATCTTTCAAGAAATTATATATTTTGTTTAAAGCATACAAAAAAGAAATAAACTTCTAATTTGAATATAAAAATACTTTGTTGTTTATAGAATTTGACTATAGAATGCATATTGAAGGAAGCACAAAGGGAGATAATATTGTCGTTTACAAATTTATAGAATTCTTTTTTATATGAACATTATATAGCAATAGAATTGACCATGATTTGTTTTTTGGTGAAAATTGTTATCCATTCCATTGTATACGCTCATCTTATAACTAATGGTAAAACTAGATTGGTAGTTTTTAAATTTTGTTTAAATATATCATTTTTTTCTGAATTATTGGTTTAATTATATTGATAACTTTGAATAATTATTATCAAATTTACTTTTTAAATAAAATTTTTGAATATTTTAATAATGTTACTGTTTGGTAGAATAGGAAATCAAAGAGGATATCTATAATCTATTAATTATAAATAGTTAAATGTTGAATATACATCAATGAGACAGCAACCTGAAGCCAAAAATAACCAAATGACATCTAAATACAACATACATTCTACAGTAATATCATACATTATCAGACAAGCTCAAAATCAGCTGGAGTAAATAAAAGTTGTGAATACAATTATACAACACTATATAATAGCTGAGAGGGTGATAGAGCAGATTGTATCCGAGAAAACATTGTCAACTGAGGCAAAGCCAAGGTTGACAATGTCTTTTCGAGGGATAACAATCTGCTCTATCACCCTCTCAGATATGTGTTATTAGTCCCCTACCGACGAAGTCGAAGGGGACTTTAGTTTTGCACTCGGCTGTCTGTCCGTCCGTCTGTCTGTCCAGCAAATCAGTTTTCCACACTTTTTTTCTTCGTTCTTGAAGATATTGATTTGATATTTGGTATATAGTTTTGCCATGACAAGTTATAGATCAAGTTCATATTTTGTTCCGGTCTGATGATTAAGTCCAGAGTTATGGACCATAACTCTGGACCATATCTAATGTCAGAGTACTATGTTAAACCATATTTCTGTACAAAGGGAGATAACTCATTTTTTAAAAGACATTCTTTGGTAAATAATTGGAAGAATTTTTTGGCAGGTTTGTTTGTTATTTTGTATTTCTGAATGCTATATATATATAAAAAAAATTATGAAGTGAAATCCTTTGATTAGATAATAATCTATTTTTATTAATGTATATATTACATTACATTGTGTAGATAAAAATTGTTGACATTTTATAGATAAGTTACAAATCTATATTAGTTTGTGACAAATAAAAGAAAAATTATTTGGAACTATTAATTACATTTGATTATAATTTGAAAATAGATATACACTGTATTACATCATATCTAATTTTAGAGAACTATTAATCATATCCAATGTTTAAAGTGTTTTCCACACTTTTTTTCATCATGCTTGAAGATATTGATTGATAATTGGTATATAGTTTTATCATGACAAGTTATACAGATCAAGTTCGAAATTTTGTTTCGGTCTGATAATTTTGTGCAGAGTTATGGTCCTTGGACTTGAAAAATTCGCACTGTTTTTAGTCATGCTTGAAGATATTGACTTGATACTTTCTTTTTGTTTACACCATGACAAGTTATAGAACAAGTTAGCTTTTTGTTCCAGTATAATGAATTTTTCCCCAGTAGGGGACTATGTATTGCCATGCAATACTCTCAGAATGCTTGTTAGTCCCCTACCGACGAAGTCGAAGGGGACTTTAGGTTTGCACTCCGTCCGTCTGTCTGTCCATCTGTCAGTCAGGCTAATCAGCTTTCAACACTTTATTCTTCGTTCTTAAAGATATTGATTTAATATTTGTTATATGGTTTTATCATGACAAGTTATAGATCAAATTCAAATTTTGTTCCATTCTAATGATTTAGTCCAGAGTTATGGTCCATAAAAAAAATCCATATCTAATGTTAGAGTACTATGTTAAACCATATTTCTATACAAAGAGAGAGAACTCATTTTTTTTAAGAAATTCTTTAGTAAATTGTTTGAAAAATTTGTGCCAGTTTGTTTGTTTGTTATTTTGTATTAACTAATTTTCTGAATGCTATATATATATAAAAAAAATATTATTCAGTGAAATCCTTTAATTAGATAATAATCTATTTTCATTAAGGTATATATTTCATTACATTACATTCTGTAGATAAAAGTTATTGACACTTTATAGATAAGTTACAAATCTATATTAGTTTGTGACAAATGAAAGAAAAAATATTTGGAACTATTAATTATATTTGATTATATTTTGAAAATAGATATACATTGTATTACATCATATCTAATTTTAGAAAACTATTAATCATATCCAATGTTAAGAGTGTTTTCCACACTTTTTTCATCATGCTTGAAGATATTGATTGATGATTGGTATATAGTTTTATCATGAAAAGTTCCAGATCAAGTTCAAATTTTTGTTTTGGTCTGATAATTTTCTGCATGTTATGGTCCTTGGACTTGAAAAATCCACTCATATAATCAGTTATTCACACTGCTTGTTTAATTTATTATACTGAATGTTCTGTTATTACTGTCTATTAAATTTCAAATTCAAAGTAAAAAACTATGATGTTGTACATGACAACCATCTGTATTTAATAAAGCGCACACTTGATCAAGCGTCTCCGTGAAGGGTAATAGAGAATTTACCATAGGATAGAGTAAATTGTCTCCCACGTATTGAATTTTAAACCTAGTACCTTCTGCTAGCTATTATTCGTGTGTTTCTTTGTCCTATATGTTCTCCCATTTATTTGTATTGTGGTCCTGTCATGTGATGTTGTCGTTTTGGTGTTGTGTTTGACGTTGCCATAAAAGCGGGAGGTTTGGCATGCCACAAAACCAGGTTCAACCCACCATTTTTTTCTTAAAATGTCCTGTACCAAGTCAGGAAAATGGCCATTGTTATATTATAGTTCGTTTCTGTGTGTGTTACATTTTAATGTTGTGTTTTTGTTGTGTCGTTGTTCTCCTCTTATATTTGATGCGTTTCCCTCAGTTTTAGTTTGTAACCCGGATTTGTTTTTATCTCTATCGATTTATGAGTTTCGAACAGCGGTATACTACTGTTGCCTTTATTTATTAACCAATCAAAATCTGGTATTTTGACATGAAGTATAATAAAATAAAAAATCTGCAATTAAGTCAATATTAAACCTGGTTTAAAATCCAATTGAAAAAAGAGGTGAAAAATTCTAAAAGGACAATTAAAGTTGTAAGTTGCAGAAAAACCTACAATACCATGGCAAAAATTAAAAGCGATAAAAAAAACAAACAGACTACAAAATGCTCTAAAGACTATTAGGAAGCAACCATTTAACTTCAAGAGGGGTTATGGTTTTTTGTCCGAGTCTGAAATTTTTTTTCGCGCTAGGCGCAAACATTTTTTTTTAGTTTTTCTATGCTAGCTATCAATCAAATTATTTTTTTCAAAATTTAAGACTATAAGGTGTGTTAAAATCTGGATTCAGAATATTTTTTTTGTCATCTGCTTGACCACAATATTTCTTTTCATCAAATTGGGGATCAGAATATTTTTTTAGGAAAAAACCATAACCCTTGAAGTTAAATAGTCTTTCCTTTAGCAAAGCATTAACCCCACCAAAAACTAGGGTAGATCTCAGGTGCTCCAGATTGATAAGCAGCTTAGATCCTGCTCCACATATGACACCTGTCATGTTGCTCATGGCGAGTACTAATTTGTTGATATCACAATCGGGGAAAGAGGACAAGATTGTGGCTACCACGACTGGTATATATCCGTGGTCATCTGTGAAACATATTCTATAACTGCCAACAGAATCATGATGGTTTCTGTAAAACTCTTGAAGGGTTGACCTCAACTATACCACTAGGAACCTTAAGTTCAATACCTTCCTTGTCAGCAGCAGTTGCTCAATTTTTCTCAAGTTTAATTGTCTTGTTGAAAATTTGATTGTATTTTTATACGACCCCAAACAATTTTTTGGGATCGTATAATGGTATGATGTCGTCGTCGCCTGCGTCGTCGTCCGAAGACACATTGGTTTGCGGACAATAACTTTAGTTTAAGTGAATGGATCTCTATGAAAGAAGTTCAATACCACAAAAGGAAGGTTGGGATTGATTTTGGGGATGATGGTCCCAACCGTTTAGGAATTAGGGCCCAAAAGGGATCCAAAACAAGCATTTTTCTAGTTTCAGGATAATAACTTGTGTTTAAGTATTTTGATTGCTCTGAAATTGTACGACAATGTTTAATACCACAAGTAGAAGGTTGGGATTTATTTTAGGGGTTATGGGGCCAACAGTTTAGGAATTAAGGGCCAAAAAGGGGCCAAAAACAAGCATTTTTCTAGTTTCCAGACAATAACTTGTGTGTAAGTGTATGGATCTCTCTGACATTGTACCACAAGGTTCCATATCACAAAGGGAGGCTAGGATTGAGTTTGGGGTTAATTGCCCAAATATGTAGGAATAAGGGGCCAAAAAAGGGCCAAAAACAAGCATTTTTCTAGTTTCCAGTTATAGGATGAAATTTGAAAAAAAACGCAGGACAGGAGTTTTGAGTAAAAAAAAAGGCAGGATGAGCAACTTGGCAAAAAAAAAGGCAGGATGACAATTTATGTAAAAAAAAAGTCAGGATAAACTAATAAAAAAAAAATGCAGGACCGAATAGAGTGAAAAATAAAAAGGCAGGACAGAGATTACAACTAAAAAAAATTGCAGGACAAAATTTTTCATCCTAGCCCCCCCCCCCCCCCCCCCCCCCCCCCCCCCCCCCCCATAAAAATCAAATGGTAGCTCCCTAATGAGTCAAACCATTTTCAACTGATTTTTGCAGTTTGTTCTCATGTAGTGCTGTTTGGGGGGGATTGAGCGCTCACAAAAATGATTAATCCTGTCACAAGTTAAGAGCCGATAATTCAGTGGTTGCTGTCTCACATATTTATTTTTTAGTCCTCTACCAACGAAGTCGAAGGGGACTTTAGGTTTGCACTCTGTCCGTCTGTCCATCCGTCAGTCCGGCAAATTAGTTTTCCACACTTTTTCTTCGTGCTTGAAAATATTGATTTGATATTTGGTATATTGTTTTATCATGATAAGTTACAGATCAAGTTCGAATGTTGTTCTGGTTTGATGATTTTGTACGGAGTTATGGTCCTTGGACTTAGAAAATTCACTCAAATAATCAGTTTTCCGCACTTTTTTTCGTCATACTTGAAGATATTGATTTGATAATTGGTATATAGTTTTATCATGACAAGTTGTAGATCAAGTTTGAATTTTTTTCCTGTCTGATGATTTTGTGCAGAGAATTGGTCCTTGGACTTAGAAAATTCACTCAAATAATCAGTTTTCAACACTTGTTTTCGTCATGCTTGAAGATATTGATTTGATAATT